CAAATTCTGATTCACTAGGCTTGATCCAACCCTTGTCGATCATCTCATTGATTTGTTTCCGGAGTTCCTCCAACTCGCCGGATCCCATTCGATATACGCAACCCTTTGGAGGAACACCACCTTCGAGCAACTTGATTGTGTGTCGGACCGATCGCGTGGGAACTCCACGTGGTTCCGCCAGAACTTTCGAGGATTAGTCGAGTAGGTTTTGAATGCTTGTTGGGACCTATGGGGGCGAAGGATCAGCAAAAGGATCACCTAGATCAGGTCGCAAATTACGAATAGAGGCGATCGAATATGAAGTAGAGTCATTTGGACTAGGGGTAGGTAGAGAAGTAGTAGTGCTAGAAGTAGATTCATTAGATAAAGTAACATTTGTACTAGCCGCAAAAGTAGAAGGCAGATGAGTAGGGAGAACGAAGGCAACATACAATTGTTCGTCCTCTTTGTGCTTACGCCACTTCTTGTAGAACTGCATGGCATTGAGAAAAGTCACTGGGGACTCGTGCTTCTCATCCAAGAGGATGGAAACTTGTTCCCTTGAGCATCTTTGACCATGAAAAGTGGCTCCTTCCACTTGGTCCATTCGTATTGGGACTGCAGCCAGCCCAGGCCAAGGACTGCGTCGAAGGGACACTTGTCAAGGACATAGAAGTTCAAAGCGTGGGTGACTGTCTTGTCCTTGTCAAAGGTAGTGCGCACACCTTTGACTGCATGCGTAGATGGGACAACCTCTTTGTTGGCTACTCGAGTCCGGCAACGGTTCTGCAAAGCCACTTGCTTCATCCCAAGACCCACTTTGCATATCCCGTGTGGTGACATGAAGTTAGTTGTCACACAAGACACGGAGATAGCGGTGGTTTGTGAGAAGTTTGAAGAAGATTAACTTCACTGTCCCTTGAGCACGTTGATGTTTCATCTCACCCCAATGCTCTAAGTGATAGTGAAAGTTGATTGTCTTAGACTCCTCCTAAGGCTCTATATACAAAGCATGACAAACTTCAGTCTTCGATTCAGCAGACGATGGGGCTTCAAGAGAGGACTGCTGATCTGCATCAGGTTCAACCTCCCTTGCCGTAGAGGATGCTGATGTCAACTCTACGCCCGATTCTGGCTTCCTTGCAGCCTATAACAATGTTGTACTTTGTGGTTTGGTTTCTGATAATGCAGACATACCCCTTTCTTGAGCCTAATCCTCCAATCATTTTCAGTGATCCGGAGGTCAACCCAAGGTTTAGTGGCTGCATCCTCCGGTTTCGCTGGGATTTTGACTCCCTTGGGAAGTTGGACATAATTCTTTCCTGAATTCTAGTTTGGTCCCTTTACGTTGGCAGAATTTCTAAAGGCATTTAATTTTTCTTCTTCGTTATTCACATCGAAGTCATAGACTGAAGAGGAGCAGGTCGTGTCAGGGTCCTGTTCTTGGGTGTCACCAAGAGTGGGGTCGTCTGCATAGGCCTCCTCACCGGCCTCCAACAGGTCGTGCACAACAAAACGGTTGTTGCCTCTGAACCGCCTGCCGCCAATAGGCTTTTTGTTGTCTGTTGTGGTAATGAGGTCTTGTGCCTCAAGTCTGACCACATCCTGCATGAGGAAAAGCCAGTCAGTGTAACCAATGAACTCTTTGCCTAGGCGATGTGTGTAGGTAGTGGGAACCATTCCTTTCACAACATCCAAGCATAATTGTGCAGTCATTTCCAGTCACGTGAATATGCGACTATCTCCTTCTTGACCTCAATGTCAGGCAAGGAGGGGACTGTTTTGAGGACAGCCTCATGGTCTGCAACAATGGTTTTCCGCTTTTCCTCCTCGACTTTTTCTTCCCTTGCCAGTGCCTTTTCGTAGAGAGTTGGGAACAATGGTTTATCCTCCTGTACGGATGCATCCAGTTGGGCCTTTGAGGCCACATAAGCCTTTGCATCACCCATTTTCGCAAGTCCCTCAAGATGGGTGCTCGCACTCTCTCTTCTCTCCCTCTCTTCCTTTTATCTACAAGTCTCTATGAGCATCGAAATATAAACTCAGGACAAGAAACAAACTGAAAAAGCTCAAAGAAAATAAGGTAGAACTCCTAGCCGGAGCGACATTACATTTAGACTAGAGAGCAGCAAAAAAAAAAAAAGACATGAGAGGTATGATCCAACGACTCGGTTTGATTGCATACGAGGTCCTCTCGAGTCCAGTCTGACCAGCTCCGTGACCGTACAACAAATCATACAATGAGTGACTATATGCAACAATGGAGAATTGAGTGGTGTATAAGGTGCGAGTCAAGCCACGGACGGTGCGATCAAAGCATGCGAAACGTCTCAGTCGAGATCCCCTCGGCAGCGGGTGTCCTAACCAAAAAGAATAAACTCTGGATCCTAGTCAGGAAGAGAATGGACCAATGTCTAACAGATTCGGGTCCAAGGGACCCTTTTTGTTTGGGCCCGGTCCCACGTAGGTCGTGACCGAGTCCCAACCAAGAGGAGTCCCAATTGGACTAAGTTTCTGCGCCTACCATATTGAAAAACGAATTTCAATGTGCGACAGAACCTACAAACTACAGCCGTTCAAAGATAAAAAGACAAAGCACTGTAGAAGGACTCGACATTCAAATCAAGATACTTCATTTCTCCATCCATTAGGTGAGTAAGTAGTTCACACACATTCAATCACACAATCAAGACCATAGAGGAGTAGGAAAGAAACCCGGTATAACCCTAATAGGACAATCAATACCATGCACACGTACATGGGCATCCCGTAGGTGCACGACACTTACATGAGTGGCCTGAGCTTCGAGATGAATAGAACTCACCCCCCTCTCATATGATCCTCCCGACCCCTTTAACGCTACCCCTACACTAGTGGCCTATCTCCTAGGAGGGTCTGACTCCAACACCAAAGTGCAACGCCGGGTCCCCCGCCAACTTGCAGTCCATAGATGCTGAATGGCCGCTGTCCCTCAAGTTCCCTTACTTGAGGGCAGCCCTTAAGTTGCCAAGTGTCTCACTTGAATCAGATTCCAGGTGTGAGTGCCTCTCACTGTCGCCTCTCTCAAGTTGCCGCATGAAGTCTCCACGAAATGTCTCGCCACCCCAATCTCTCTCTCAAGCAACCTGGTTAGGTTCAGTGTCGACCCCACACGACCTAACCAGGTGGGGGCAGCTTCCCTTAGCCACGCTGCCCCACTTCCCTTACATCCAACCCTAACCCTAAGTGTTGCCCTCAACCACTTAGGTTAGGGTTAGGTCAGCAAAGTCAACTCTCACCGGCAAGTAGAATCCGCTCAATACAAATGTTATAATCCTGGCCAATTTCGAGATACACATTCATCAGATAGTACTACAATGCCGTCCACTTGCAAAAAGAAATGAATGAACTTGAGAGGAGAGAGAGGGTTAGGAGAAGAAGAAGAATATGATGTACACCAGCATAGACCAATGAGAAAGCTCTTCTTCTTCGCCAATCACTCTCCTCCTCCTTATCTCCTCCTCTCTTATTCCCACAGGAAATAATAATACAATGTCGAATGGCTGAACCAGAATCAGAGTCCGAATCCCTCTTCTACTGCAGGCATCACTTGAGGTCCACCATAGCCATGGCCGCCTCCCTCACTCTTCACTCTCATAGGCCGAGGCTATGGTGGACTACTCGGCCCCGGCCCTGATGCCCAAAGGACAATGCAAAGCAGCTATGGCTGCTCTAGCTCAGACCGCCATGCCTAGCTCTGCCTCGAAGCTTCTTCGTGTAGCTCTACCCAAGCTGGGGCCTTCCTGCTCCAGCGCCCACCAACGTGATGCAGATGGCTGCCACCATAGCCAGGTAGGAGCGCTCCTCCCTAGCCCTGGCCTTCTCCCTCCTCCGTGTCCGTGCTCCTTCCCCAGCAGTGCTGCTGAATGCTAGCGCTGCTCCAGCCAGCGCTCCAACCAGTGTGTCGCCAAACTTGCACACCGACAATGAGGCTGGGCTCTTTGCCCGGCCTGGAGATATAGCGGCCTGCTTGCCTCTTGGGCGGTGACTTCCAGGCCCCTCGGCCTTCCAAGCAACCGGTACCACCTTTCTTTCGGAGGGAAACATCATTGCGGACTCTGATATTGCCCGTACAGGCCCTAGACTCAGACTGGTTGGACTGGTACCCGCCTAGACATAGCCTACAACTACTGCGCCTCTAAAAATGCCAACTTTTGTCTTCTTCTGCTCGGCCTCGAGTACCCGGCACATCTACCTCTTCAGGGTGTGGTACCGGCCTACCAGCTACTCGAGTGTTTCCCCGGTGCTTCAAGTGTTGCGGGCCTCATCCCCCGCCACTTGAGTGTTTTCCCCGCTGCAATCCTCAATGTCACAGCCACAGGTAAGTACCGGCCCTGAGGGCCCAACGGATGAACAAGTGCCCTTGCGGGTCACACACGCACTCAAGCCAACAAGCACTCAGACAGACATGCAGATCAGCAAGCGTGCACACACACAGACTTAGGAACTTAGTAGCAAGCGGGAAACTCAGCAAGGCATTCAGTCCATGAGCAAAACTCAGAAATCAGCTGTGTGTCTCAGTCCGTGTTTGGTCGGTTCATCACAATTCATGGAATCCATGGACCCCTCCCTGCTGAGTGGGTGAGTTTAGATCTCTCTCACATTATCATTTTGCTGGACAGTCAGGCCAGTCCGTGTTGGTTTGGATCCCTCCCTTCTAGTGGGCGAGTTCATATCTCTGTCATATTATCATTTTGCTGGATCGTCAGGCCAGGCCGTGTTTGTTTCAATCTTCCACTGGGTTACGTAACTTACATTCCATCTCTCCCCTGTGTTGACGATTCAAGAACCGCATAGTCAACGTTTTTTTCCAGGTAACGTGTAAGCGTCGGCTCATGCATCTTGTTCGGAGCAACTGCACATATAGTGAACTGAGCAACAACACAATCTAGCCAGCCAGGCGACAACCCACTTCAGTGGATGTCTTGAAGGACTGCTTTCCTTTGTTTTCTTCTCACAGCCCTCCTGATTTCTGATTGCAGGATCGCAGCCGGCATCTCTCCACGTGGAAGGTGGTGATTCCCAATGGCCAACAGTTGTGTGGCCCGCTGTGGGTCATCGCTATCCATTCAGGCTGGCGCTACCAGACAAGTCGGTCCTCAGGAGACATCTGTTCGTGTGGAGAAACAGTGTCGGCCTTCTTCTGCATGCTGTATTGGTTATGTCACCACTGACAGTGGTTCCTTGAAGTCCCGTGTGGCCAAGTCTGCAGCAGCGGCGCAGCACTCGCCAACCTGTTGCAAAATTTGCAATTCGACAATCAGTCCAAGCCACTTGGCGAAGAATCACAGTGACTCTTCGCAGAACTCTCTAACCAAGAATGGCCAGAAGAGGGACATATATCGCAAATGTATGTCCATGCATGTAGTAAACAGAGTGAGGCACAGTGTGAAACCGGCGGACCGGGCAGATCGCAAGTCCAGCAAGTTTTGCACCAATGTTTGGCTTGATTCCCGACATCATCAGCACTGTGTGCGGGATGATGTGTCGATATGCAGGCGGGAAGTGGACACAGTTTGTTCGGTTGCTCCTCATCGCGATAGGCATGCCGAGACAGGAGGAAGAAGCTCCTCGCTGTCAATTGTAAGCCATTGTCTCAGAACCATGCCAGGCTGGTCATCATCAGTATCCACTGTCCGCAAGTGGGGACACCTCGCTGTTGTCACTGCCGAGATTACCTCTGGCGATCGGCCACCTCCATCCTCTCCACCGGCAGACACGGTGGATGCTGACGGTCCGTTCCCCACAACGACAATGACAACTGAGGCACCACCTGAGCTTCCATCTGACCTGCAGTGTGTAGAGACAGGCAGCGGCGACGTGGAATGTGTTCTTGTGAAAGAGGATGGCAGTGTTGTCACAGCTAAGCGATCCCCTGCGATGATGGCAGCAGGTAAGAGCACTGCAGCAAGCACGTTTAACGGCCAGTCGCTTGCGCAGAGTATAGGAGAGGCCCTGCTTTTGATATCTCCATTCTTTTTCTGGGGTACATCTATGGTGGTCATGAAGCAGATTCTTCCAAAGGTTGGGCCTTTGTTTCTTGCCAGTGTGAGGCTGATTCCAGCAGGCATGCTGGTAGTTGGATTTGGCGTGTGGCAGAAGCGGAGGATGCCAGCAGGTGCATTGGCCTGGACGACGATCATTCTGTTTGCTCTTGTGGATGGCACTCTCTTTCAAGGTTTCTTAGCAGAAGGCTTGCAGCGAACAAGTGCTGGGCTTGGAAGCGTCATAATTGACTCGCAGCCGTTAACGGTTGCAGTCCTTGCGACTTTGTTCTTCGGGGAATCTTTGGGCCCTCTTGGGGTGTTAGGCTTGCTGCTTGGGGTCCTTGGGTTATGCCTGATAGAGGTGCCATTGGATGTGCTGCTTGGCTTTTTCAAAAGCAGCGTTACGTCGCCGGTAGCGTCCTCGGTACCGGGAATTGGGACTGGAATGGCAGGCGCCTTATCTGATGCAGTGGCTGGTGTTGTTGCCCAAGGCCCGGCAGCAGAAATTGGTACCCAAGGAAGAAGCCTGTGGGATGCTGGAGAGTTTTGGATGCTTCTGGCGGCGCAGAGCATGGCGGTGGGAACAGTGATGGTAAGATGGGTTTGCAAATACAACGACTCGATTATGGCGACAGGGTGGCACATGATTCTTGGGGGTGCTCCTTTGCTGTTGCTGTCATTGTATAATCAGGAACCAGTGCTCAGTGGTGGTGGCTATGTCGCAGACCTTACCGCTGGCGACATTGCAGGCCTCCTGTATGCATCTATTTTTGGAAGTGCTGTCAGTTATGGGGTCTTTTTCTACAATGCAAACAGAGGCAGCTTAACAAAGCTGAGCTCACTCACATTTCTGACGCCTATGTTCGCTACACTCTTCGGGTATTTGTTTCTCGGAGAAGTACTCTCTGAAGTACAGTTGATTGGAGCTGCAACCACACTTGTTGCTATCTCACTTGTAAATAGTCACCCATCAAGTCCTGATTCCGATGAAGCCGTGCTCTCCAAAGATGATTGATTGAGTGGTTGACTGATTAATCAATCAATTAGCTGATTGATTGATTGATTGATTGATTGATTGATTGATTGATTGATTGATTGGTTGGTTGGCTGGTTGGTTGGTTGATAGATTGATAGATTGATTGATTGATTGATTGATTGATTTGAGGGTGTGATCGGCATTGCAATGTCCGGTGAATATCCTTAAATAAAAGGGTATGCCCTCTCCACATAATTGATCGTTGAAGGTTTTTTTATTTTTATTTTTTTAATACTGATCTCAAAACTAATGCCACTGTTTCTTCTTTTTTTTTTTCTCTTCAGAATTATCACTTTTATTTAATTTCCTGTCAACGTCAGTTGATGTGCGGCTGTGATCTGATGGTGTTGAGCCTTGCATAACTCCATTTTCACTCTGATACAGCCACAACTGTTTGATTGGAACAGATGAAAACATATAATTATGTTTTCATTTATGTTTTCATTTTCTAAATCTCTAAGTAATTACGTCGTAGTCGGCGTCAAGCAGACAGAATTTGTGTCCCGGTCTGACGGATAGTCACAGCCACAGCTTAGGCACCCTTTTGGTCATTTGTGGCTGCTGCTCATCAGGTTCCCATTGACTATCGTTGTTCGTCGATAGCTTGGAAAGTTCCTTCTTTTTTCTTTTTTTTTTCAAAATTCAAAGTTCATTTCTCAGATACCTGTTGGTTTGTCAAATTAAACGTATTCGCTGTGTTAAGTTTTGTTAGCATACCCTTTATTTTTTAAATGATAGTTATTATTATGAGTAGAGCTGTCAGAGGACTAGAACTCTTGGAAAAAGAAGCATCACTCCACTTACTCCACACTCGACAACAATAGAAACACTCGCGAATTTCTTAGCGCTAAGAAATTTCTTAGCCCTTCTACAGCGCTACATAAGAAGGGTATGAACTGTAGAAGGGCTTTATTTTTTACATAAGAATTTCTTAGCCCTTCTACAGCGCTAGATGGCAGTGCCAGCTCGTTCTGATGGTTGGGGAAGGAGGCACACTCGCGGAAAAAGAGGACGGAGCGGGGGTAGGACGGAGGACGCTAGAAAACCTGAGTGTTGCAGGCTGTGAACTGTATACAAATTGAGACTGTCCCCCTTCGAGAGCGAGCGCTTTCTGACAGCTCTCGACGGAAGGGTGTTGTCACGAGTGCCAGAGTACTATAGTAAGTGGAGCGAGGAGTTACTCTGGAAACTTGGAGCGAGGCCCACTACAACCGCGTCGTTCTTTTTTGTTTGTTTGTTTGTTTGTTTGTTTGTTTGTTTGTTTTTCCCTTTTTTCAAGTTTTTTAGAGTTTTCGTCTCATCCGGGGACAGCTATATATATTTTCTCTCACCTCACATATTTAGTTCTAAATTCTAATTTTAGCAAGATTGAATAGAAAATTGATAGATGATGGATCTACATCTCCACAGTTCTCCAGAGAAGTCTTGTAAGCAGTAGAATGGCTTCGTTGTCACGATCTCAGTGGAATGGCCTTGTCGTCACGATCTCGACTCTCGAGTGATTCAGCCCTTTGTTCCAAAGGTCCCCACTACCTTCCCCTTTTCTGAGGCCCCCCTCCCCCTCCCCCAGATATTTGATCAATGGTCATTCGGCTTGGAAGAGACTCTTCCTTCCTCTTTTCTGAGCCCCCAAGCCGCACGCCTCCCCCCTCACACACAAAAAAAAAGAGAAAACAAACAGATCATTCAATGGTCATTCGGCTTGGCAGAGAGTCTTTTCCCCCGCATAGGGGCCACCAAACTCCATTGCATTTTTCTTCTCCTTTCCACTTCTACTGGCACACTGCAAACTCTCTGCCAACCCGAATGACCGTTGATCAAAGTCTAAGGGCCAACGAGCAAAAAGTCTCCATTTAAACAAGCAACAGACATGGAATGCAACATTGTGTAGAGAGCAAACAAAAAAAAAAAACATTGTGTAGGCCAGCATTTTTTTTATTACTATTTTTTTTTTTAAAGGGTGGTGTTATGTAGAGCAGTACAGTGTTATGTCGGGCTGTTCGAATAGAAACAATAACTCTGGGTACCAGTACGGGACAATAAGGGACCATAACTACCGTCTTCGTAGGGCTGTTATGCAGGGCTGTTTGAATGCAACGCGTAGACCTGTTGGCAGTTATGCAGGGCCGTTCGAACTTCGAATCCACAAATAGGCCCATTGGCAGAGTTATGTACGGCACTTTGAATACAACGCGTAGACCCGTTGGCAGTTATGTAGGGCTGTTTGAATACAACGCATAGAACCATTGGTTGTCAGTTAAACCACCAGTACTTGGGCACTGCGCGCCGCGCCGCGCCGGCCGCCCAAATCTCGAAGCAGCGCGGGCTGTCGATTCGATTTATCGACGGCCCGCCGGCCGCGGAAATCGCGTAGCGCTAACGCTAAGGCGTCGCCCAAGTACTGGTGGTTTAATGTAGGGCTGTTTGAACTTTGAATACAACGCATAGACCCACTGGCAGTTATGTAGGGCTGTTTGGATACAACGCATAGACCCGTTGTCACACTTGCAGAGTCGTCTCCGAAGAAAGCGGACGGGACAAGTTGTCATGGGCGAAACAAAAGAACATGTCTTCCCCCGATTTGTAGCGGTATATCTTGCAGCAACTTCAGTCTGGATACAGCTATAATAACCGTGTGGTATGGTGTTCGGCGGAAGACGGTAGTGTGGTCACAAATGTCGCTGAGTGTGGCGATCGCTCGTGTCTTGCCAGATTTTGCTACCTGTCACAAAAGACAAGCGCTTGCCCCATGAATGCGTATGTGTCCCCGCCAACAGTCAGAAAAAGAAAAGCAAACTGTCACACCCAAGTCTAATATTTGTCGTCCTAGTGCGTATGTGACCACACTAGCAGCCAGAAGACAAGTGCTTATCATGGGCGATTCTGCAGAGTGAGATCTCCGACTAACACATTCGAGTGTTGTCAGCAAGACTGCCTTCACAGGTCAGAAGAAGAAAATCCCTGGGTGCGTTCGGACAACATTTTCATTTTGCCAGTGAAAAAGACGAATACATATTACATACAGGAGATCATCTTGTGTGCAGCACTGTCGCAAAGTCCGTCTGAGAGACAGAACTGACAAGACAAATTGGTGATCACGGGGGGCACGCAACCCGTGCCGCTGGCCCGGTGGAAACATCCAGGAGGCACGCAGTGTTGGCCCGTCTGGGAGTGTTTATGCGTTCGAGACGGAACGCTACGAGCAATCTACGTTTTTGATCTCTAATGACTTGATTTGACATATGGGTAAACTTCTTTCTGTAAAAAAATGCTCCACAAAATGGCTGTGTATCCGAAATTGGATTTAACGCGGGTTTCGCGTTGAACAATTCAACGCGCGTTGAATTCGCGTTAAACTCCCATTCAAACGCGAGTTGGACGGGAATTAACGGGGTCCGGGATGATTTTTTTCCGGGGCTAAAAATTATCCAAAAAAAAAAAAAAAAAAAAAAGGGGGTTGTAGGTTTTGTTGAGGACTACAACCTCGTATTTTTATTTTTATTTCTATTTTTAAAAAATCAAAAACATAATCACACAATGAAAAAACAAAAACGAAAATGAAATGAGTGTTTTTGTTTTGGGTTTCACACAGATTTTTTAAGGGCTAAAGCGAAAACAAAAAAAAACAAATAAAAAATATAGGGTTGTCGATCTTTCAAAGATGTACAACAATTTATTTTTTATTTTATTTTTTTGGAACTTCGTGTATTTAAAAAAAAAGCAAAACCATAAAAAGCAAATTAAAAAAAGCAAAAAAAAGACACACACACACACGAAATTGGGCCTGTAGCAGGTTGCATGAGTCTGGCGTCAGTCGGTTGAGGGAAGCCAGGTCCTGGGCCGTCTGTGTGAATGTATGGAAAGCAGGCCCTGGGCTGGATACGGGTACTGGGCCAAACACAGGCCAAAGGCAGTTGGGGGCATGCAACCACCTCAGGCCCAAGGCCTGTTCTCGTTCGTGCTGTGCATCAGGCTACCGGGGCCTACTGGAAGCTTCCTGGGACTGAACACAGGCAGGCCACTTCGATATAGCGAAGGGCCTGCCTCCACATTGGGCATTCGGGTGCTGGCTGCATGCTGCGTAAGCGCTGCCGCGCTGTAGTTCGTGCCGCTCACGCGCTCACGTGCGAGCAGGAAGGAGCAGGCAGCCATAGCCGAGCTGCGCTGCTGTAAGCTGGGTGTGGCGCAGGGTGGTCCTTGGGTGCAAGTGGAATCTGTGTGTTGGGGAACGAGGTTGTAAGGCGAGACACACTCTCACGCGCAGGCACAGACACACTTACACTTACACACACACACACTCACAAACACACACATACGTACACACACTTAGAAACACACACATACACAAGCACACACATATACATACACACACATATACATACACACACAACACTTACAAACACACACTACAAGCACAGACACACACACACACACACTTACAAACGCACACATACACAAACACACGCGCATACATTCATATTCATGCACAGACACACTCTCACGGCAGGCACACACATACACAGATACGCGCACACACAGCACACCTACACACACATAACTGGGGCGTTGGGGGTTGGGGGATGTGGGGACGGATGGGAGGTGCTTCAGGGGATGGGGGGATTTTTTTTGTTTTGTTTTTTTTGCCTAGGACGACGTGTTCCGGACCCCACGGACCAATTCCGTTTTTCCGAAAAGCGCGGGAGCGGCCCATTTTCGCGTTTAACGCGAATTCAACGGGGTTTTTTGGAGTTTAACGGGATTCAACGGGAGTTTAATTCCCCCATACTGCGTTAAAAAGATACACAGCAAAATGGAAGTCTCATTTTGGGTTTTAGCTGAAGTGACTAGAGTCACATGAAACCCACGAAGGTGTTCAAAAATTTCAAAATGATTTTGTATTTCTGGGAATAAGCGTAACAAATCCAAAGACACTCTGGGTGCCACCGGTAAGGGACAATAACTACCGTCTTTCGAAGGAAAACAAATCTTTGATTCGAATAGAACGCATATGCATTGTATTCGAATATAAGGGCTGTTCGAATAGAAAGCAACCTATGCATTGTATTCGTTTACAACGCATGTGTTATATTCAGGGGAAGACAGTAGTGCCAGGCCCCACCAGTGCCCCATTACTGCTCACAAAACAAGAATCTGGCCACTATGAAGACTGCGCTTGTGTCTTCTGAATAATAAGGAGCGCAGATGGAGACTGTGGTCCACAGGATGCTGGAAAGAAGTCTGATGGCGGACTTGCTCTAGGACTTTCTCGACTGAATTTGGCACCCTGTCACATGTACCTGCTCTTCTAATTTCCATCTCTACTCCTCCCCCCCCCCCCCCCCCCCCC